GTTCGGATTTCGCATGCGAGCCGAACGTGAATTGGGGAGGTCATTTGCAAAGCGTGCAGTGTCGACCAGCCCCAACAGGCGCCCACGAGCTTTCCTAGAGGCGAGCGAGATAGCGCGGCATCTCGCTCGCGGACATGTTGTGGGTCCGCAAGGTGGTCTCCTCCCAAAGACCCTCAATCCATTCCCAGCAAGCTTCAAGGAGAGCCCAAGAGGCCACTAGTGAGCTCCCAAGAGGCGCCCAAGAACTTTCCAAGAGGCCACACAGAAGCGTCTCCGAGAGAGATGCCGCGGCATCTCGCCCGCTGGCATTTTTTTGGCTCAGGGACGTTCAACAGGCCTTCAGCAAGCTCTTTGGAGAACTCAAGAGTGAGTTGGAGATCTGCTGCTGGTTGTACACTGCTGTCTAACGACAAGGCAATCGAACAGCTAAGCCAGAGCAACTCAGCAGGAGGAGGAGGAGAAGGAGGAGGAGGAGGAGGAGGAAGAGGAGGAATTGATTTGCGCTTCAGTGCGCGCAACTCTGCACTTGCTAGGCCAGCTGTCGGCAAACATAATGACCTCCGCCTCGGGTCCACGAAAAGGGCGGTGCCTCTATTGCCTTGAGCACTGCTAGACGATGCGAGAAAGAGAAGGATGAGAAGGAGGCGGAGAAGGAGGACCAGTGCAAACCCAAGGAGCAGCAACGATGTTGCATTAAAGCTTCCCTCCGCGCTCCCTCTTCACATGGCCCTGCAAGGATTTGTTTTCACTGCTGGAAGTGCCGCGTTGGAAGACAACTGTCTGATAACCCGCCATCGTGTCAAAACTCTACTCCTTGGACATCAGCGCCGCGAATCAACATGCCGAATGCGTCCTGACGACCCTGAATCGTGCCAGAATGCCCAGGACTTTGCACCGCGAGTCAACGTGACGATTGCGCTCTGGCAGCCCTCAGCTGCGCTGGAGCACCATTCCTGGGACTCCATCAAGATTCATTTGTCAACGGTTGTAAGTTTTTACGACGGATGTGCGCGGCGCTACGGCGATAACCACATTGAGAACGTCCCGCTTCCATCCGTGAGACTCTTGGAGTTGTTTCAGACGAAGGTGTGCGGCGTATGGGGAGAGCCACATTTGGAAAACCGCCCGCCCTCCATCCGTGAAGACCTTGCAAACTTTTGAGACGAATGTGCGCGGCCCTCGCGTGAGAGCACCATTCTGAAACAGGAGCCGACCTCCATTCGTGAAGCCCTTGCGAACTCCTGAGGCGGATGTGCGCGGCACTCCGCCCAGAGGCGCACTTTGAGGATGGCCCGCCCTCCACGCGTGAAGCTCTTTTTGCAGCTTCTGCGACGACCGAGCGCGGCGTTGAGGCGAGAGCAGCACCCCGCAAAAGGGGACCGACCTCCATCCGAAGCCCCCGCTGACAGTCAGACGGATGCGCGCGGTGCCGTGGCGAGCACCGCAGGTGGAGAGAGGCCCGCCCTCCGCCCGCGAAGCCCCTGCACTTTGTTTTTCAGACGGGCGTGAGCGGCGCCAACGGCGAGAGGCACCTTCTGAAGACGGCCCGCCCTCCGGCTCCTCCTCTTCCTCCTCCTCCTCCTCCTCCTCCTCCTCCTCCTCCTCCTCCTCCTCCTCCTCCTCCTCCTCCTCCTCCTCCTCCTCCCCCCCGCGGGCAGGCCAAGAAGGGCAAGGACGCTGTGCGCGGCGCTCGGGCAAGAGCCACATTCTTGAAACGATCCGCCCTCCAAGCTTGTAAGGCGACTGTGAGCGGCGCTAAGGTGAGAACCACGTTCGACACAAGCCGCCGTGAAGCCGCTGCAGAGTTTCAGGGTCAGGGTCGGAAGTCGCCAGGCAGTCTCAGGCGAGCCCGCCCTACCGTCACGTCTCGGACTGCCACAGGCTGGAGTTACTGGCAGGCAGGCAGGCAGTCATGCGGGCAGGCAGGCAGGCAGGCAGGCAGGCGGATGATGATGATGATGATGATGATGATGATGATGATGATGATGATGATGATGATGATGATGATGATGATGATGATGCTGATGATGACGATGATGATGATGATGATGATGCTGATGATGCTGATGCTGAAGCTGATAATGATGATGATGAGGTTGCTGATGATGGTGATGATTAAGGTGATGATGATGCTGCTGATTACGATGCTGATGCTGATGATGACGCTGATGATGATGATGCTGCTGCTGAGGATGGTGCTGATGCTGAGGATGATGTTGGTGCTGATGCTGCTGCTGACGATGATGCTGATGATACTGATACTGATGATACTGATGATGCTGATGCTGATGCTGATGATGATGCTGATGATGATGCTGGTGATGATGGTGATGATGATGCTGATGATGCTGATGCTGAGGATGATGATGATGACGACGATGACGATGATGCTGATGATGATGGTGATGATGATGCTGATGATGGTAATGGTGTTGATGGTGATAAGGATGATGATGCTGATGATGCTGATGCGGAGGATGATGATGATGACGATGACGACGATGACGACGATGATGATGATGATGACGATGATGATGATGTTGCTGATGATTAGATGATTATGATGATGATGCTGATGCTGATACTGCTGCTGATGATGATGACGATGATGATGATGATGATGATGATGATGATGATGATGCTGCTGCTGCTGATGATGATGATGATGATGATGCTGATGATGATGATGATGATGATGATGATTATGATTATGATGATGATGATGATGATGATGATGATGATGATGATGATGATGATGATGATGATGATGATGATGATGATGATGATGATGATGATGATGATGATGACGTGACTTGCGCTGGCTGTAGGCGGTGCCTGGAGCTCTTGTGTGGCGGCGGCAGTGTACAGGAAAAACCCAGCAGCACGTGGCTTGGCGCCTCTGCTCAAATGGGGAAAATCTCACACCAGGATAAAGGGCTCCCCTGTCTTCACGGATGCTGACGCGGAAATGCGTCACGATAGGAATTGTGTCCTAGTTGTGTCGCCTGGCCTTTGCTGGGCGCTGGTGGCAGGAAGGGTCCAGCAGACCAATTCCACGCTTGCGTGCACCAGGGCCGCGCGAGGGCGGAGTTAGCGCGCGTCTGGGTGTCGGCTCGAAGGTCAGCGGCCTTCTGCGCGACACGGTCGCGCAAATCTGCGGCGGATATTAGCTCCTCGCTACACTCCAGCAGCTCTCCTGCGAGCATCGCGTCGCGGCATGCTCTGGAGGAGAATTGTAAGTGGTGCAAAGCCCTAGAGCGGGTGTGATAGTGAACGCCACAGGCAGGGCACACTGACCTTACGCAGAAGCTACGCGCAGTCATCCTTCTGCCGTGCGTGCGCCTCTGGTGCGCAGCCAGCCCTCGCTGACCCTTGCAGTGCCCGCCGCAAGCGAGACAGGTGGGGAGAGGCTCGTCAGAGGCAGCCGGAGGGGGAGGGGTCTGCTTCCCACGCAGCCTGCGCTCTGGCCGGCTGGTCGGGCTGGACAGGGATCCACCATTCCATCAGGGCGGCCTGGCTCTTCCAGCGACGAGGGGATTCGACAATGTATGCCTTCCACCTCTCGCGGGGTGGGCGGAGGGCGAGCCGAGCCTCTGCCCCACGTTGGGGAGGGCCATCGCGAGCTGCTCAGGGTCGTAGCGCAGCATCTGCGCCGCCGGGGGCTTCGGGAGAGCCTCGACCATCATCTGGACAACCTTCGGTGCTGTCCTGAAGTGGGACGCGAGCTGGGACAGCCACCGGGCCCAGACCATCGACTCGAGGAGCAGGGCGTGCACCTTCTGCAGAACCTCCTCGTCTGTGGCCATGTCAGGGGCCCCGCAGCGCATGTCTCCCGAGATCCTCCAGATGACGCGATGGTATTGCCCGTTCACGAGGGCCATGGCTTGAGGGTCGTCTCCACGCCATGCCGCTATCCCGTATTGGCTTTTCGAACACACCAAGCTTGTAGCTAGAGTCGATCGGGTGGAACATCGCAGGGAGCCACATCCAAACACATGCGCCGTTGGGGGGGCGTAGCTTTGCTGGGCCTTGGACGTCCTCTGCTTGGCGTCTTAGATGTGCCGACCCGACGCTTGCAGCGTGGTGCCGAGGTGCGGGAAGTCGTGAACTACTTCGAGCTCGAGTCCTGTCGGTGATCGGTAGACCGCCTGGCCCATGGACAGACAACGCTTCCTTCAGGTCGTGCGGGAGTCCTGGCCGTACATCCGCGCCATGATCGCAGATTTACCGGGGCCCGCGTTGATCACGAACTCGATCTTGCGGCACTCATCGTTGATGATGTCCACTGCAAGGTCCATCTCAGCGAGCAGCTCCTGAGGGGAATCGCCCAGGAACTCGAAAGTCACGTCATCTACACATTGCTCGTCGTTAGGAGCCTGCTGCGCAGTGACGTTTTCAGGGCTGTCGTCGAAATCGGTTGCCCAGAGTACGAATGCACGCGTTGACATCTTCATGCTCAGCTGGATGTTGCTCTCCGGGAGTTGGTGCCGCATTCGCTTGAGGACCAGCTCAAAAGCTATATCGAAGCACACCGCTCCGAGTCGACAACCCTGACGTTCGCCGCGCTTCGCAGCGACCACGGTCCCTGGTTCACCTCGCACCTGGAACCGCGTACCGGAATGGAGGGCCGTAATCCTCGTGGTGGCGTGTTCGTCAATGCCCGCTGCTCGGAGGAGCGATGGAGCGCTGGGTCTCGTTGGCCATGTCGCGCGGGATGCCTCGATCGTGCAGTTGATCCGCTAGCTGGTGTAGCTGGCGGTGCCCGGCTTCGTAGAGGTACTCCCAGATGACGCTGTCGAAGGCTTTGGCCAAGTCGAAGAATAGGATGGCCGAGTACTGGCGCATGTGGACCGCTGGTTTGCAAACCGACGGTCAGGAGGAGCGTGTCTCGTCCTGGGACTGCGCCGCACTGTGCATCCCCAAGTGCCGCTGGCAATACTTTGTACACAGGGTCCGAAATCTGCATGGTGTACAGCTTGGACCGGTGGTCGGATATCAGAATACCCCGACTCTGCGCGGGGAGGAAGATATCGCCCTTGTGCTTCCAGATGTCGAAGATCTTACCCCCTGTCATGCTGACTGGGAGCTGGCATCGTGAGGCAGAGAGGTCGAACAGCGGCAGGGACTCTGATGAACGCTAATGGTGATGCTGCTGATGAGAATGAGGATGAGGATGATGATGATGCTGCTGATGATGAGGAGGATGAGGATGATGATGACAATGATGACGATGATGATGATGACGATGCTGATGATGCTGATGATGATGCTGATGATGATGCTGCTGCTGATGACGATGTTGGCAGTGATGATGATGAGGATGCTGATGATGATGCTGAGGATGCTGGCTGCTGATGATGACGATTCTGCTGCTCTTGCTGATGATGATGATGAGGATGAGGATGGTGGTGGAGTTGATCATGATGATGATGCTGATGATGATTATGACGACGATGACGATGGCGATGATTATGATGATGATGATGCTGATTCGGATTCTGATGATGATGATAAGAATGATGACGATGATGCTGATGATGCTGCTGCCGATGACGATGACGATGACGATGACGATGACGATGACGATGACGATGATGATGATGATGATGATGATGATGATGATGATGATGATGATGATGATGATGATGATGATGATGATGATGATGATGATGATGATGATGATGATGATGATGATGATGATGATGATGATGATGATGATGATGATGATGATGATGATGATGATGATGATGATGATGATGATGATGATGATGATGATGATGATGATGATGATGATGATGATGATATGATGAAAATATAGAGGATAAGAAGGAGGAGGAGGAGGAGGAGGAAGGAGGAGGGGGGAGGAGGAGGAGGAGGAGGAGGAGGAGGAGGAGGAGGAGGAGAGGAGGAGGAGGAGGAGCCAGGGAGAGAGGAGGAGGGAGGAGGAGGGAGGAGGAGAGGGAGGAGGAGGAGAGGAGGAGGAGGAGGAGGAGGAGGAGAGGAGGAGGAGGAGGAGGAGGAGGAGGAGGAGGAGGAGGGAGGAGGAGGAGGAGGAGGAGGAGGAGGAGGAGGGAGGAGGAGGAGGAGGAGGAGGAGGAGGAGGAGGAGGAGGAAGGAGGAGGAGGAGGAGGAGGGGGCAAGAGCAGCAGGCGCCCCCCCTCCCCCACCGCAGGCCTGGGAGGAGGAGACGGCCTCGGCGCCGTGCGCGCCCAGCGACGCGGGCTGGCCGTGCGCGGTGGCGTGGGCGCCCGAGGGCCCGCGGGGAGGCGCCGGCCTCGGGGCGGCCCTCCGAGCGGCCCTCGGCGGCCTGTCGGGGTGCGGTGGCCCTCGGCGGCCCTCGGAGGCCCGTCGGGCGGCTCCTCGGGCGGCCCTCGGCGACCCTTCGGCGGCCCTTTGGCTGCCAGGCGGTGTCCTTCGGCCCCCCGTCGTTGCGGAGGTTCTCGGGGCCTGGGCCCAAACAAGGCGGAGGTTTCAGGGATCCAACGCACGAGAAAGGTCAAGGCAGAGGTTTTTGTCGTTTTCGGCCTCTGGAGGCCTTCGGCTGGCCCCGGGATCGTCAAAAAACGACTCAGGATGAAGAGCTGGGAGCTGGTCTCCGGGAGGGGGTCGATACTTCCGGGGACCCCGTATTCCGAAAATCCAGACATTGGATCTCCGAGGGGTGGTTTTTGCTCAACTGCGCCTCGTCGGGGGCGTTTCGGGCATGTCAGGGTCTTGCCGAGTGTCCCTCCGATGCCCGAGGCCGAGAGCCGATCGGAGGTGTGCCCAGGGTTTCCCAGGAGGCCGCCACGGCCTCTACAGGGCACCCCTCGCGAGGGCCAGAGGGCTGCAGGTGCTCCAATGGGTCGCGAAGAGCTGGGGACAATTTCTGCGCCGGCAACATCTCTGGCCCCCCCCCGCCCCAGCCTGGAGCGGCTAGTCGTCGTCGTCGTCGTCGTCGTCGTCGTCGTCGTCGTCGTCGTCGTCGTCATTTTCGTCGTCGTCGTCGTCGTCGTCGTCGTCGTCGTCGTCGTCGTCGTCGTCGTCATTTTCGTCGTCCGATGCCGCTGAGTGTCCCTCGTCGCCATGGCTGGATTCGCCTCGACATTCTGGTCAGAGCGCGCCCAGGGATAGGTCCAGGGAGTATCGGTATCGGAGTACGTTGCTCCCCTAAGTGTTGGAGGGGATGTTCAGATTGCTTGAATGTTGTTGCTAGTTCCGCCGCGCATCAGAGCGGCAGGCTGTCTTGTAAGATCGTGTGACCAGGCTTGATGATTTTTCCTGTCTTCACATTTGGCGAGCCTGCAGAAAAGCAAGGCCCACGTGGTAGACAGCCCAGAGCTGATTGGAAATCAGCGCTGAAGGTCTGGCCGCGAAGGCCCCTCTGTTATTCCGGCCCTCGGGATCAACCGCGGAGATCGAGGATGTATCGCGTGCGAGCGAGCGCACGCATGACGTGATGCCGGGGGCAGTGCTGCATGGCCCGCGTCGTTGTCGTCGTCGTCGTCGCCGTCGTCGTGGTTTTCCTCCTCTTCCTCATCCTCCTCACCATCCTCCCTCTTCTCTCCTCGTCCTCCTCTCTTCCTCCTGCTCCTCCGCCCTCCTTTCCCCATTCCCATGAAGCCGTCGTCTTAGTTATCTCGCAACATGGTTCCCAGAGGGAGCCCATTCTGAGGGCGGGCTTCTCATCTCGAGTCGTTCTCCGACGGTCTCAGGGCCCGGCGAGGGCCATTTGAGTTAAGTCGGGCCCGTACGTCTACAGGAGGACTATTCAGAAATAGGCAGAAAATAGTTTGGGGACTATTTTTTGAGTATCTTTTTGACCATTTTTGAGCATTTTTGGGATATTTTTTATTTTTCGTCGAACATCCCCCTGTAGGGGGACACGCCCGACTTAACATTTGAGCCGCAGACTTCAAGATCCTTCCGTCCTATGCTTCTCGCGATGTGAGGATGCCTGGGTCTTCCTCCGTCCCCCTCCCCAGCGAGCATGCGCGCGAGACGCAGTGCCCCGAGATCCGACGTTGCGAAGCATCACGACCAGAGCTCTGGACCCCCTCTCGCTGCGGCAGTTTGCGAGCTGGATCGACCTGTGATGGTCTCCAGGGCCCGAGGACCATGCGAACACGCCCAGAGTGAAGAGGTCGCAACGCCCGGATCCCTCCAGACTCCTCCTCCTTCTCCTCCTCCTCATCCTCCTCCTCTTCCTCCTCCTCCTCCTTCTCCTCTTCGTCCTCTGCGTCCTCTTCGTCCTCCGCGTCCTCTTCGTCCTTCTCCTCTGCCTCCAGTTTCTCGTTTCCTTCGTCCTTCCCGACCGGCCACAGCTGGGAAGGTTGTCTTCCTGACCCCCCTTTGGGGGGCCAATGGTGTCGATGATCTTCGGAGAGAAGCGCCGAAGCCGACGTGTCCCTCACAGCGAGGCGAGGACCACAGCTCCCCCGTGGGTGGCTGGTTTGCCTCCTGGATCGGACGGCAAGTGAGGTAGCAAAACGAGGGTTAGCAAATCAGCTCACGCAACTGGATTCCCGAGCGCCTCCCGCCGCCGAAGGCGCCAAAGTATCGAAGAAAGCGCACAGCGGCGGGCCGAAACCACCTGGAGGATTCCTTATCTGATGAGGGCGGCGGTAATATCCACGGCCACTCCACGACTGGAGTCCCACTGGCTTCCAGACCCTGGATTCCTTGTCCAATGCCTTCGCCCTACGGTCGGACCGGGGTATAACATCGAGATCGGCTCGGGGAGGGTACCCCGAGCCGACCTCGATGTTACACTACTACTTCTCCTCCTCTTACTTCCCTCCTCCTCCTCCTCCTCCTCCTCCTCCTCCTCCTCCTCCTCCTCCTCCTCCTCCCCCTCCTCCTCATCTTCCTATTGGTTTTCCCCTCGCGTCTCGCTGCGCTTCCTTCTCGGGCGGATCGATGCCGAGAGGCCTCCGCCGTCGGCCGGGCCTCCCAGGCCGCCTCACCTCCTCATCCTTTCCTCCTCTAGGAACAGACGGCGAGGCGGACGATGGTGATGAGGAGGCGGAGGTGGAGGAGGAGGGGAAGGAGGAGGCGGAGGTGGAGGAGGAGGGGGAGGAGGAGGAGGAGGAGGAGGAGGAGGAGGAGGAGGGGAGGGGAGGATGGGCCTTTTCCTTGAGGCCTGTTGGCGCCCGTAAGGGCGCGAGCTCCCGGCCAGGCATATTGCCCCGCCGTTGCCCCCCCCCCCCCCCCCCTCGAGCTCCTCCGGCGCATCCGCCGCGCGGCGCAGGCCGAGGGGCCCCCCTGCAGGGCCCCGGCCTGCACTGGAAGTGGGACCTGGCCTTGCCACCTCCCAGCGCTCCTGCCCACCTCCCTCCCTCCCTCCCCCCTCCCTCCCTCCTCCTCCTCTCCTCCTCCTCCTCCTCCTCCCCTCCTCCTCCTCCTCCTCCTCCTCCTCCTCCTCTCCTCCCCTCCTCCTCCTCCTCCTCCTCCTCCTCCTCCTCCTCCTCCTCCTCCTCCTCCTCCTCCTCCTCCTCCTCCTCCTCCTCCTCCTCCTCCTCCTCCTCCTCCTCCTCCTCCTCCTCCTCCTCCTCCCCCTCCCCCTCTGGCGCCCATGCGCCTTGAAACTGTCGCTGGCGCCAACCGCCCTGGAAATTCTGGCAGCCGCGCTGCCGCGCAACCCGGCTCGCACTGCTGCTGCCGGCTTCGAGCCGCCGCCTCCTCAGGCCTCGCGAGGCTCCCCTGCGCTGCAGCCTCTGGCCTGTGCAGCCGTCTGAGCTGCCCTTGCGCCTGAGCCTCAGAGGTCCCGCTGCGGCTGCCCGCTGTGCCTCCTCCTCAGACATTGGCCAGATCCGCGGTTGCCATGCTGCTGGTCACGCCCTGCGCCATGTGTCTCGCCTCCCAGAGGCAGCCCTAGAACGCGTCGCCGTTCCAACGCCCGCACCCCTCCACGTGCGCCGTGTCCGTGAACGCCGCGTAGAGGGCAGACGCGCCCCCGATCCTCAAGCTGTGCGAGCCAAGGTCGTTCGGGTCCACTCCTTCGGCCACGGCCGCTTGCATCACCACCCTCTCGACGTCCGCCTTCGTGACAGTCCTCTCGTCGTTGAAGGCGAACAGCGGGTCGTACATCCTCATGCCTGAGAGCCTCTCCTTCGCCCAGCCCTCATTCGATGGCCAGCGCCTCTACGACGCACAGGCCAGCCTCTGCCTCCTCACCCTCCTTCGCCTCGACCTTGCAGTGTTTGCGCCACTCCCCAGAGCTGCACTGGTCCTCCGTCTTGCTGGCCCGAGTCTTGATGACCACCTCGTTTGCTTCGAGCCAGCTCCTGCATGGCTCGCCTTCTGACCTTCGGCGTGACGTCCACGCATCGCAGGCCCTCGTCGCTCGTGCCGCCGCTCTGGCCGCCGGACACGTACGCGCTCGCCCCCAGGGGAGAAAAAGAACTAGCCCGTGGCTGCTGCCGCCCCGGGTGCCGCTCCTGTGCGGGTCCTCTCTGGCTGCAGCTTCTTCCAGATCCACTACATCATCCTCGGCGTGACCAGCTTTTTCCTCTTGGGGGCGCCGTCCCGCCGCCTGAGCCCGTCGATCGCCATCCGGAGCCGTCCGGCACCTGCGGTCCGATCGCCCATGCCCAGGGCCAGGTGCTGTGCCCGGACCGCGCTGAGGTACTGCTCGATGGTGCCGGCCTTCTTGTGGCCGCGCCTGGACAAATGCACGACAAACTCCAGCAGCAGCTCCTCCCTGAGCGGGCTGGTCCCGCGCGCCCTGCAGAAGAGGGACCATCAGCGCCAGCCGAGGCTGTACGACTTGATTGCGGAGCTAGCCTGGACGCCGTCCAGGGAGGCCACTGTCTCAGCGTCAGGGCCAGCTTGTCCCGATAGTCCAGCATAGGCGACTCGAGCCCGGCCATTGCCTAGATGCCTTGCCCTATCTCGTCGTCTGCGCCCCGGGTGATGGGGCCCACCTTGGCCTGACGCAGGGCGACCTCGCCCACCTTGCCTCGCTGGTAGTGGTGCCCCACGAAGGCCTCCGCCGCCTCTGCCAGCTCCGGACGTCGGAACTCGACTGCGCGGGCCGCCAGCGCCTCGACGTCGCACGCCTTGCCAGCTTCCTTGGCGGCCCGCACGCGGTAGCGCAGGTAGTTGCCGAGGAGCCCCGTGGCCTCCGCCACGTGCTGCAGGTTCAGGTCCGTGTCGATCTCGTGCATGACCTCCTTGCGTCCGGCGAGCTCGGGCGTCGACTCGGGCAGCGGTGCTCTCTGCTGCTTTGCCTGGTGGTGGTTGGCCAGCCACTTGGTGTCGGGGCCCTGCATAGTGAGGTGCAGGT